GGATTGGCCTAGGGGGGGATTTTATAGGGATTTTAAAGGGATTTTATAATTTTAAATCTAATACAGGTCATTTAATATATATTTTAATTTGGCTTTTAGATATTTATTGTATAGTACTGTTTTTATTTACCTGTAAGCCGCCCTGAGTCCCTCGGGAGAAGGGCGGGGTATAAATTAAAGTAATAAATAAATAAATAAATAATGAAAATATTTATTTAGGCCAATGCTTCAAACTCAGTTTAAATTAGAAAATGAATTTTCAATAATAAAATCCCAACAAAAGATAATAGCTTTTATGATGGTAACAAATCTCAAACAATGTAAAGTGGTCATTTTGACTAGGCAGAAATATATCCACTCACATTTTGTAAAATATGCCTAGCACAAGAAATAATGAGGTAATGCATGCCCTTGAACATATAACTATAACATATTGGCTGGGAAATAGTCATGAATTATCACAGTGTCCTAGAAACTCAATGAACCTGTCAAACTAATTCAATTTGTTGAAATCTGAAATAGCCTTATTTGAACCCTCTGAGGTCTATTATCAAAGATTATGTAAGCAGAAAGATTGTGCCATTTACTGCTTAATTATTTCTCCGGAAATGAAGTTTGAGTTAACTAATGTTTGGTTGATTATACTGAAGTACTTACTCCATTTGTCATATTATGATCATACAATTTATGCTGGTTGACAAAAGTACACCCATAAAACATACTGTAACTGGATCACCTTCACCAAACATTCAATTTGCCCATACAGGACAAAATATTTTCAAATATAGAGGATTAGAGAAATACAACAATTATAGCAGTAAATTTTATTTTAAAATCTATGTCATATTAAATGACAGTGGGCTAAATAGAAATTATTATTTTCAAAACATAAAATAAAAAGGCAATTTGTTAAATAATAATAATAATTATTATTATTGTTATTAAATTAAATTTATATCCCGCCCTTCTCCTTGCGGACTCAGGGTGGCTAACAATCGATTAAAAATACACAAATAACAATTACAGGATTAAAATTAATTAAAAGGAAATATTTAAGTATGGTCTAATTAAAATATAATTAAAACCCCCTCTAAAAATTACCCTAGGCCAGTCCTGCAAGCTGGAATAACCATGTCTTAAGGGCGCGGCGGAAGGAAGGGAGATCAGGTATCACCCTGATCTTTGGGGGTAGTTCATTCCAGAGGGTGGGAGCTACCACAGAGAAGGCCCTCCCCCTTGGGGTTGCCAGCCGGCACTGTCTGGCCAACGGCACCCTGAGGAGACCCACTCTGTGGGAGCGTACAGGTCGATGGGAGGTAATCTGCGGCAGAAGGCGGTCTCGAAGGTATCCGGGTCCGATGCCATGGAGCGCTTTAAAGATGATAGTCAACACCTTGAAGCGCACCCGGAAGGCCACAGGCAGCCAATGCAGCTCGCGCAGCAGCGGTGTTATATGGGAGCGTCGAGTCCCTCCCAACACCGCCCTATGTGTATGTACTTTCACTTAGATAAGAAATTATAGTACTAAAGAAAATGCTTTAGACTATTCTTTTTTCCTTATCTAACATCAACTCTCATTATTAATATTGTTGTTACCTAGTCATTCTGTCACTTTCAGGCCCAATGAATATCATTTTGTCAAGACTCAATATCAAAAATAGTTTGATATGTTAGAAGCTCATGCCTGTATCCTTATAACAATATAATATCTAGCAAAAAGATCTATCAGCTTCTTCAACTGTCTTTGAATTTTTCCAGGCATCAGAATCTTTATCAGTGATTTAGTGAAGAATTACTATTTAGATCAGTATACCACTGCAGGCTTGTCTAGACAGATAGTTTAGAATTTTCCTTCAATGGTCTTATTCAGTGAGCCAACTGCGAAGACTAAACAAAGAACATTAAGAAGTGAAGAACATTTCTCCAAGATAATTTTATTTGAAATAAGTAATTTCAGTTGACTGCTAACATGTGTCTTGCATAATGACAAGTAGTCAAAAAACCACCATTAAAGACAAGTATCTTCCAGGATCTCTACAAATAGGTAAAATGAATAAATAAAAACAAATTTTCTTATACATTTGCATGGAGATGTAAGTAAGATGGATGTAAATTTCTTGAAGGTTCTGAACATTGCATTTATTTTGAACATCATGAACAAATATGCATGACAGAATGAAACTTTTCCATATCTAAGGTAAGGAAGGTAACATATTCACTATGCACCTTACTTTGATGTTTTTAAAAGTATTTCTTTTTTCTTATCAGTTAAGTTCAGATTTTTTAAAACTCATATTAGGGCACTACCTTGCTTGCTTGAACTTTCTTCATGAATCATTTCTCTATTTCTTTATTATTACTCCTTTGATTTAAATCTGTTTGTAGCACTGGAAACATTATTTCTGAACTCTTGTTGAAAATATTAACATTACTACTCCATATCTTACATTTTCTTTGCCCAAATTATAGTCACATTCTATTCCTATTTTTGATATCATTAACCACTAACAAGTAAATTCTTTCAATTATATTTCAGACAAGCCTATTTTTCACAGTTCAAAAATAATAGTTCAGTGTGGAAAGGAAATTGTTTCCTTAATATATTTTTATCTACTTAAAAAAAGTTCCATCAGTATTTTAGGAATAAGGAAATTCTTATGCCTTGGATTTTAAACTTTAAAGTTATCCCTAAGTTAAATATATGAAGCAGCAAACGAAGGCTAGTATTTGCTTTTGGGGGGCATGATATGATATTTTCCAACAGAAGATATCACATGAATGGCATATCAACAAATGTAAAATCACCTCCTAAATGAGGTGCAATAAGATTAAATATAAAATATTCATTAATAAAGTTTCTGTAACTTGAAAAAATGTTAACTAAGCTATTTTTAACTAAATGCCAACTTATAGATGAGCTGAAGGAAAAAGCATTTTTTAAAATATCTTATTCTTCTGTGGATGATGGTTTTATGATGATTTAAATTCAGAAGCAATGTCTTATTAACAAACTTCTTCATTGCTTCATTGTTGCAGGCTACAATCCTTATACAATGCCTAAACAATTACTGCAGTTGAGAAATTGAGAACAACATAAAAACTTACTCCTTCCCGAAGGCATCGTATTAGCATAGTATAAGTAACTGAAGGAACAACCCAGCACTCTCCATGTTGCTCTTTTTTTCCATCCTGTTAATGAAGAGTCAAGACCAGAAATAAAATTTTAAAAGCAAAGTTATATTTTCCTCTTCTGTAAAAAATTATAATTTAAAAATGCATCAATGAGTTCATGTTTTTAAAATTATACTTTGTATTATGGAAGTTGCCCAAAACAAATTGTTTAAATTTTTTATCTATAACTGTCACAAATTATCAACCATTCTAAATTGCTTGTTCTGATATGGTTCTCTTGTCTGATCTGATTGTCTGTATGAATGATATGGGCATGCATATCTCTATCTCCCCCCCTCTCTCTATCTATCTGATATAGACAATCAGATCAAATCTATCTATCAAGATAAAGATATACATATAGATATACAGATATCCAGACAGACAGACAGACAGATAGATAGATAACAATTATAAAATGTCAGGGTAAACAAGATTACACAGCGTACCAGATAAAAGATATAACAACTCAAAGAAATCAAAGACATAAAAAATATACATTTACAAAAGCACAATATCTGTCTAGGTTTGTGAACTATTTTTTCTTTTACTATATCTAGACACTATTTAATATCTTGCCTTTTAATCTTTTAATCTTACCTCTCTCATTGAGGACCTTATCAATTCTAACCAAACAAACTTAAGTGTTCCTTGACCTTTCACATTTATCTATTTGTTATGTAATTCAATGCTCACTAATTATCTCTGTATGACCAATCTACTCTGACATATTTCTTTCATATTTGTAATTGAGCAGTATGTATGCCTTCACTTTGGTACCCGAAACATTAATATTCCAATAATATTCCTTACTGCATCATAAAATTTATCTAACAGTGTAGAGTACCTGAGTTGTTGGATTGTCTGTATACAAAGTAATGTGTTCAAAGCCTTGACCAACTTTATATATTTATCCATAAATGCACTGAAAACCTTGATTCCTCCCTAATCAATGTAATTTCCTGAACATTTCATTTAGTCTCATAAGATGTATTTGATGGAACATATTTCAGATATATATCTCTATGATGAAAGATGAACATGTTCAAATGTGTAATATAATTTTAATGTAGTTCTCCTGTGTTAATATTGTTGCTCCATTTTTATTCAGGTTTCATACCCTGAGTTAGTGACCTTAGGAACTAACTAGAAAACTAATATGGCAAAATTTAAAATTTCCAAAAGAAGCATTTAATGAATATATTTCTAGGGAAATATTCTAGTTACATTTTTTTAGATTTTAATTCAATAAAAGATTTTATTTTCAATAAAAATAATTTATATTATCAATATTAAAAAGCACAGACTTTTACTGATGACATTTCAAGAAAATAAAAGGATCCCCACCTGATGTGAGTGAATAGCAGTTTCCAGACTAATAAATAAAATAAATAACAAATTCTACAGTGGTACATAAATTGCCAAAAATCTTATTAGGTAACTAGAGCATTAACAGCTTTAGGAAGAAGGATTTCTTTCAGTTATAATAATCAAGTGTTAAAAAATATTTTAAGAATTTATGACAAATCTAAACAGCATACTAAAAAGCAGAGACATCACCCTGTTAACAAAAGTACGTATAGTCAAGGCCATGGTTTTCCCAGTTGCAATGTATGGATGTGAAAGTTGGACCATAAGAAAGGCTGAGCGCAAAAGAATTGAGGCCTTTGAACTATGGTGCTGGAGAAGACTCTTGCGAGTCCCCTGGACTGCAAGGCAATCAAACCGGTCAGCCCTAGAGGAGATCAACCCTGACTGCTCTTTAGAAGGCCAGATCCTGAAGTTGAAACTCAAGTACTTTGGCCACCTAATGAGAAGGAAGGACTCACTGGAGAAGAGCATAATGCTGGGAAAGATTGAAGGCAATAGAAGAAGGGGACAACAGAGAATGAAGTGGCTGGATGGAGTCACTGAAGCAGTAGGCGTGAACTTAAATGGACTCCAGAAGATGGTAGAGGACAGGAAGGCCTGGAAGAACGTTGTCCATGGGGTCGCGATGGGCCGGACACAACTTCGCAACTAACAACAAAATCTAACTTTCATATGTACTCTAATACAGACATGTCAAACACAAGGCCCAGGGGCCGGATGCGTCTGGCGAAGTGGTTTCATGTGGCCCGCAACGCCATCCTGGAAACAGTGAGGAAATGGCCCCCTCTGCCTTGACCCTGGCCGGCCGGGAGCCAATGTATAATTTTGTGGTGGTCATCTATGCTGAAACGCATTCAGTCTTAGCTCCACAAGGCTGTCTGGAAACAGCGAGGAACCACCCGTGTCGGCCCCGCCCCCTGGGTGCATGCTGGGGAGGTGTCACTCTTTGTGAGGAATGAAGAAATGCACCATTGCCTGGAAGTGGTCAGCAAATGGCCCTCGCCTACTTCACCTATCCGGCTTGATGGGCTCCGGGGAGAGGTTTCGGCAGGCAGCAGGATGCTTTCCTCACAGCACCAAGAGGCTGAACTGGGCGGCACGAATCGAAAAAGAAGTGTGAGGCCGCCCAGCTCCTAGCCTGCCCGGTTTCGGCAGGCAGCAGAGCACTCTCCTCACAGCGCCAAGAGCTGAGCCATGTGGCACGAATCTGATGAGAAGTGCAATGCTGCCTAGCCCCCAGTCTGCCCAGTTTCAGCAGGCAGCAAGGTGCAAAGCTGACGAGCTTCACACCACCCGGCTCAACTTCTCAGAGCTGTGAGGAGAGTGTCCCGCTGCCTGCTGAAACCGGGCAAGCTGGGAGCTGGGTGGCCTCGCACTTCTTTTTGGATTTGTGCCGCCCAGTTCAGCCTCTCAGCGCTGTGAGGAGAGCACCCCGCTGCCTGCCGAAACCCCTCCCCCGGAGCCCATCCAGGTGAAGTAGGTGAGGTACTTAGGAAGGAAGGAAGGAAGAAGGAGAGGGAGCATCTGAGGAAACTCCTGCCTTAGTCTGGCCCTGCTGCCCTTTCACCATCCCCTTGCCCCCTCCTCCTGGCCTATACTGGGGGTCTCCCATCCTATTGCTAAGGAAGCTTTGGATACAAAGCCAGGTTTACTCCAATGGAGAGGGAATAGGCCTCCCTCTGACTTTGTCCTCGTACCCATCATGAGCAACCAAGCACAGCAGCAGCAGCCTTGAGGAGGAAATAAGTGCAGAAGGGCATCTCCTTGGGGAAGTGGGGCTGGGCTTGGTGCCGTGGGTGCTTGAGGGCCAGGCTGGGTGTTTGATCTTTGCTGCCCAGGGCTCCGGGCAGCCCGCACCACCATCCAGCCCCCCCCCGCATGGCCTGAGAGGAACAGTGAGGCTCCTCTAGTGGACCATGCCTTGGCACTCGCCCTGTTCCCATCTCCTTCTGCCAGAGACCCTCAGATCTGTCCCACTCCTGCCCAGGCCCCCACAGGCACCCTTGACGTGAACAATGTAGAGCTGCCCACCCAGTAGGCCACATCCATGCCCATCCAGTAGGTCACACCCACCCTGGCCACACCCACCAGCCCCCCAAGGGCAACCGCAATGCTGATGCAGCCCTCAATGAAATTGAGTTTGACACCCCTGCTCTAATAGAACTTAAGATGTTGAAAATGATCAAAGATGATTTCATTATGCTTCTTAATTCCACAGTTCCTGTCTATAAATTATTGAAATAATTTCTTTAGGCATTGCTTCCTCTACCAAGACCTATATCCATAAGGTAATTCCTTTCTTCTCCAATATTCCCTCCTCACTGCTTTATTATTCAAATAATACATTCATTTTGCTCTTTCTCAGAATTTAAAGAATTAAAAATTAATTATTCTACATAATATTCATGTCTCTACACATCCAAATGAAAATAGTAGCAATAATCTAAAATATTAGATTACTAGATTTTAGATTTTAAATTAAGCAAATTTATTTAAGTTTGGAGAAAGAAATCCATTTATATCTCAGAGATCAAAATATAATACAGGTAATCCTTGATTTACAAAAGTTCATTTAGTGACCGTTTGAAGTGGTCACTTGATCAAAATTCAAATGCCTGGCAAGTGATTCATATTTATGACAGTTGCAGTGTCCCGAGGTCATGTGATTTGCCTTTTGCACTTCTAACATCCAAAGTCAATGGGAAAGTCAGATTCACTTAACAACCTGTTAACAACTTATCTGCAGTGATTCACTTAACAACTGTGGAAAAAAAGGTTGTAAAATGGGGCAAAACTCACTTAACAAATGTCTCACTTAGCAACAAATGTTTTGGGCTCAATTGTCCTCATAAGTCAAGGACTACTTGTATAGTGAAGAAATTATTTTTCTATGTTCAGTCTAAAATCATATCATAAATCTTTTCATCTTGAATTTTCTTTCCAAATTACATGGTAAACTTCTCACACATATGACTATTCATTTCTTTTTTTTTCTCCCTAACACAACACATTTTTAACCAAGATGCTTACATTCCAACAAAACTATATTGCCTTTTTAAATATGAATCTATTGAAGACATGTAATATAAACATTTTCTTTCTTCAGTTTAAAAAATGCTTTTAAATGGGCTTTTCTTCCAATCAATATGAATTGAAAATAGTTTAATTTCATTCATGTTATTAGCTATCAAATTCACTTATTGAGAAAAAGCAATTGATTGGTTTGGTTTTTTAATTTTTTTTCCACATTTTTGATCTTTTTTCCATTGTTTGATTGCTGACAACAGCTTAAGTATTCTATTTACCTGATTGGCTGAATATTATTATTACCAAAAAGGCCTCTACACTGTAGATAGAATTCAGTGGTTATTCCAAGAAAAATATACATCAAGATGTTAAATGAAAAAAAAAATCTTAAATATAGTAGTGTATAATTGGCTAAATGATATAATGAGGAATATAGAAAACTCTTAAAAATATTAAAAACTTTGTAAAAACTAGCTGGCTAAATGTTAAATTCTTAAAGAAAACCTTATGAATTCAGTCATATTCTGACTGAAACTTGCAGCGTGTAAGTGCATCTGAAATGTAGTCTGTTTTATTTAGTCTGTATTTTACCCTAGTCTGCATATCTTTATTTAAATTTC